TACAATTTAGATATAGTTATATCTAAATGAACTGAGCTCAATTGCAAGATTGTCGTCACAATCATTAGCAGTAAATTAAACACAGTTTACAAAACCCATCACCATCTAAAGTGACCCTATATTAGTTTAAACTTTGTCCTTGCAGGTGCTTACTTCGGTGTAGATGATTTCTATGACTGCCACTGTGTAAATGATGAACAGTGTGAGAAAATAACTGGAAGTTGTATTAATGGTTGTTCAGAGAAATATTCTGGACCTTCATGTCAAAAACGTAAGTTTTAAAGAATTACTAGTAATAAGAAACAAAAAACATACGCTAGTTTACTGATTGACACCGACGAACAGTTTATCTATGTGCAATTAATTCGTGATTTTTTGTTTGTTTGATAGTTATGCTGTAATCTTGAGGATGGCGATGTTTGATAACATTATGGTTTTTATTCAAGTTAGTTCTTTTATTACAGAATGTAATGTTGGTACATATGGATCAGATTGTTCGAATTTCTGCTATTGTTTACACAATGTTGGATGCTCAGATGATGGAGTTTGTCCTAGTGGGTGTCTTAATGGATGGCAAGGACCCCATTGTAATATTGGTAAGAACCATATCATTGCTTTATTTGACGTTTGTGTAAGGTGGTCCAATAATTGCCTAGTTATTCAATGTTTTTGTGGGTTTTTTTTTTAGTTTCGGTTTCTCATTTCATTATACTTATGATTGGATCAACCTCAACAACTTACTATGGAGCAACCTCAACATGTTACTATGGACCAACCCCAACAACTTACTATGGACCAACCTCAACATGTAACTATGGATCAACCTCAGTATGTTACAATGAACCATACTCAGCATGTTACTATGGACCAACCTCAACACGTAACTATGGACCAACCTCAGCATGTTACTATAGACCAACCTCATCAACTTACTATGGACCAACCTCAACAACTTACTATGGACCAACCTCAACATGTTACTATAGACCAACCTCAACAACTTACTATGAACAAACCTCAACAACTTCCTTTGGACCAACCTCAACATGTTACTATGGACCAACCTCAACAACTTTCTATGAAAAAACCCCAACAACTTACTATGGACCAACCTCAGCATATTACTAGAGGCCAACCTCAACAACTTACTATTGACCAACCTCAACAACTTACTATGGACCAACCTCAGCATATTACTATAGACCAACCTCAACAACTTAATATGGACCAACCTCAACATGTTACTATGGATCAACCTCAACATGTTACTATGGACCAACCTCAACAACTTACTATGAACAAACCTCAACAACTTACTATGAACCAACCTCAACAACTTACTATGGCCCAACCTCAACAACTTACTATGGCCCAACCTCAACATGTTACTATGGACCAACCTCAACAACTTACTATGGACAAACCTCAACAATTTACTATGGACCAACCTCAACAACTTACTATGGACCAACCTCAACAACTTACTATGGACAAACCTCAACAACTTACTATGAACCAACCTCAACAACTTACTATGGACCAACCTCAACAACTTACTATGAACCAACCTCAACAACTTACTATGACCCAACCTCAACAACTTACTATACACCAACCGCAACATGTTACTATGGACCAACATCAACATGTTACTATGAACCAACCTCAACAACTTACTATGAACAAACCTCAACAACTTACTATGACCAAACCTCAACTTACTAAAGTAGTCAAAGGACTTTCACAAGAGCCCAAATTGAGGAGAAAGGCTGAAATACGATACCACGATGCCGAGGAATCCCTTTTCCCTGATCTCGATGATGTAGTAGTGTCCTCATCTGATTCTTGGAATCCTGATTCGGAATCCTCCTCTACTGAAGACAATGAGGCTATACCTAAAGTGGTCCGGGTTGATAATTCACATTCTTCCGGGGAATCTGATATCATTCCTATTGTTCCTGATATATCATTATTGGTGTAGGTTCCATGTGGGCTAATGAAGACGTGCAACGCCATGCCACGCAGGTTGCGATGAGGGATATTTGGCAGGACAGCGGCATTAGCCTGCTCTTTTCCAACTGTCGAGGGATCTTTAACGTGCACAGCCTGTAGCACACGGGGCCTCGGTTAAATCAGAAGAAATGGAATCTGAGAACTAACCATGTATTTAGCTGTTTACTGACATACTGTTACAAGGAAGTGTTTTCTCGTGTCATGAATTCAATTTTCTTAAAATAGATAATAAATTGGTCTCACAAATTATGTCCATACCATTATGTTATTTATTATGTTGTGTTATCTTATTTTACAGGGCAAATTTGTAAAGAGGCCTTAGACCAAATTTTTCGCCATTGTTTTTAAAGATTTTTTCATTATTATTATGATCAAATCAAATTCCATAAAAAAAAAAGTTGTCGAACGTTAAGGGCAATAACTCCAAAACCGTTTTGAGGTGTCTTTTACTAAGTCAAGGTATTTGACAATTTTTCGAAAACTGTTTGTTTAAATATCGTCATATTCAGATCGTTCGGGATCATAGTAAGTTTCATCAAAATCAATATTGTGTTAATGAACACATTAAAGCCAATGCATCCGTGTCGGATACAAGAACATTATATAGAATTAAATTCTTCCCAGATTCCATGAACTTCTCCTTTCATTCGGGGAAAAAAATCTTTTGCCCCAGCTTCTATCGCAGCATGGGTTTAGTTGTATTTTCTCGGTATAGCTGGATATAACACTTTTATTTTAATTCTTGAGGTCATCTGCAAAAGAACAAAATAATTCAGGTCTACATGCGAGGAATGAAACTGAAATCGGTAACTGAGTTTCGTTTAAGTAAAAAACGAAAGAAGTTAATACGATAAAGATCAATTACAGCTTAAAAGTTAGAAGTTAAACGAGACTTACCTGTAAGTTGAAGTTTGACTTTAATTCTACCATACCACACATTTTGGAAAACATCCATAGGATCGGGATTGACATCATAGATGCGTTTTATCTTACCATATGGATAATCGGAAGCAGGCATAGATATAGGTTCTTCAGTATTGGCATCGGTTTTGCGCCACAAAAAGTTCAGGTCTACCTTTGGACGTTTTGTTGCAGGCTCATTTACCTCTACGTCATTTTGATCAGACAAGTCCTTCTCTACCTCCTCAATAACTATCTCGGCACCAACATTATCTGCATCAGCATCTAGAAAGCCCTGGTTCATTTCTTTTCTCATGTCATTATTTTCTGGTCATCTGATCATTAACTCATATCAAATTCCATTACTTTGTTTTATATAGATTCACCTTCTGGAATCATTCATTATTCAAAGATAATGGTAAAATATGCTTCGTATGCGTGGTCTATATGGTTTGGTGTTCTTTTGTTTTCAGTTAAGCAAATCACTCGTAACTGGTTTTTATATATTTTAAGTATTCTTCGATCATGTCATATATTTGATTTATTAAACATTTGCATAAGATTTAGACATTATCGGATCCATTTAATGATTGACAAGTTTCTCGTGCATTAACATTCGTCGAGTGTTGGGCGATGCACAAGAAGGTACAAATCCTGTTAAACCGTGTCATCTTATGGCTATTAAACCAGTGTAAGACTTGTCAAGATTATAGACTGCAAGTGATTGGGTTTCAAATAGTTCCATAACCATTGTTCCCCTTCCAAAGGTGCAATTAGTCTCAAATTCAGAAGTAGTCTGGCACATTTTGATAAGTCATAAAGACTCGGATAGTCATATTGATCGATTAATATTTTAATAAAAAAATTGACATTGCGGAATGCTTATTCAGATTTCATGATCCTGAAGAAATATTAGTCAATATTTCTTACACTTTATTTATCTGACTAATACTTATTTTTTTTTACCTTGTTGAAATTCAACTCCAAAAAAATCAAAAAGCTATTTTTGCAAAACAATCAGTTAAAAAAAAAAAATTATATATATGTACAATATATCATATCTTATGTAACTAACATACATTACAATTTTAAAAGAAAATTTACATATTTACAGGCCTTTGCCAATCTTCATTAGTCCAAGTAGAATAAAAAAAAAAACTCCTTAAATTCATTT